GGTCTTGGTTTCGGACCCTAAAAGTCTTTGTCTTGTCTCGGTCTTGATACACTCTGGTTTTGGTCTTGACTTGGTGTCGGGTTAGGTGATCTTGACTACAACACTACTTGCTACTTTATTATTAAATTGAATATTATTTCAGATCTTTGTAAATCTTTTGTCCAGATTAACTTAAAAAGTGAACTATTATTGTTAGGTAAATTTTCTAAACTACAGAAAGGTAATTGCTGGGGATGCACAAATATGAAAATGTGGACTGATTTTGATTTCCGATATTAATACTGTTGTTATGGCAGTATTTACCGATATTTTATCAAATATTTTACTTTGATTATTCGGTTAATTGTCAGAATAATCAATAGACTACTTAATTACTAACATCATAGTTTACAACAGCCCTTATGTTTTGTGGACAGCGTGTGCAGCCCATTTTAAGCAGGGACATAAAACAATGTAGAATTTGCTCTCTGCTATAGTTCTAAAAATATTTCGTAATCATATAATGCCTGAGACAAGGTAGTCGAGTTGGAGGCTATATTTTTTGTTTTATATTTTGTGTCTCTGGTTAAAGACCCCTTGTTGTTTAATGCATTCAGAAATATTAGAAATACCTTACTGTGTAGATTCTTGGTGACTTCTTCCACAGAGGTTAAGTTAAGGTAGCATATATACACTCTGAAGAAAAGAGTGTATAAATAACACAAAAAATCTGAACCATATCCAAATCAAACATAAAAGAAGCTCAAAATTTAACGTATGCCACTTTTTGTAGTACCTTAGAAGTATTCAAATAAGTTGCCTTTTAAAATAAAGATGCAGGTTTTGCCCTAAGTAAATATCTGTTATTTAATGAAGTGGAGTTTTATTTGTAGACTTTACGTACAATTTTAATTGTGTTACTATATTTTTACTATGGAATTGGAAGCCTTGATTGTATTCTGCTTTAAAGCACAGCAGCCCGTTTGGTCAGGTTTTTGACTTCAATAAAATTCAGAGCACATTTTTCTATCCATCTGATATAAAGTAGTTTAATACGATGCACACTAGGGATGTATTTGTATTTCCTCAGGTTATCTTTGTCTGATATACAATTTTAGTTTGACGATTTGAAGCACTGAAATGGGAAAAAAGGTAGACACTGTAAGTTAATGACAAGTTAGGAAAAAGGAGATAAAGTAGTAGGAAAACGGTGCACAAAATGGTTTCCTTCTTAAATTCTGAAGCAGTCTAATTAGCCTGCACAAACTCTGAATTGCACAGACACAACCACACATAAAAGTCTACCTTGTCAAGGGGGAGAGGGAAAGCGTAAGGAGGAGAGGATAGAAAAAGGGGGAAGGATGGTGATGTGGAGCAAAAGTGGCAGTGAGTTTTGGAGGAATGGTAGAAACCAGGGAGAGCAGCCTCCGTGCTCATGACAGCAGCTGAAATCCATTCCACTTGAGGGAAAGGAAAACGGCACTTCCATGAAGGAAATACACAAGAAAAAAAGACATATGGGGGGGGCTGGGAGGGAGATTGGAAAGACAAGGCAGGAGAGAAATGACAGAAAAATGACAGGAAAAAATAGATAAATCTGGTGTGTGGGAGAGTCACAGCAAGAGAGGAAAAGGCAAAACACACAGACTGTTTAGACATTTGTGCCCATTAGAAATATTTGGGTGTTTGGATAGTTGTTGTAAGTGTGGGTGGATAATTCAATCAACAAACTGCATGTGATGAGCCAGTGTTGTGCCTGAGTTTCCAGGTCCCATCCTTGCCATTCACAGTTTTACCGACGTTTTGCACAGAGAAGTTGTCAGCATCAATAAGATGAAAATCAGTTTTAACTGAAATGAATATTTGTGATCCTCTGTTTATTTTTTATAATGTTTGCGAAAATAATAATAAAAAACCCTCTTTTTTTTTCACTGTTTTTTCTCACAGACCTAGATGTCCCAGTTTTGACTGTGCACCAGACGGTCGGCGATATACGTACAGGTTTCTACCAGGAGAAGACAGTATTCCTCCGCTGCACCGTCAACTCCAACCCTCCTGCAAGATTCATCTGGAAACGTGGTGCTACGGTCATCGAACAGAGCAAAGACACTGGAGTGGACATCTATGAACCTCTTTATACTCAGGTACACTTGAACAAGGTTTCCTGCATTTCTGAAACCATATGAGGCTGAGGCACAGGAGAAAGAGAAAAACCGCTTGCAATTGTTTGCTAGCTGCTACTTCAAGTGTCCCTCTCACATTGCAAAAGCCTTTTGAATTCTTGAAAGATTGTAGTATGTATGTTAAAGCCATGATGAAGACAGAAAATATATGGAACGCGTTTTGCTGGCCAGGTGAGACCAAAATGAACCTTTTTGGTCTACATGTAAAATATGTAAGGTAGAAAACTAATTTGAGCGTGCTTTTCCTAGCATGAAACATGGTGCTGGTAGCAATATGATCTAGGGTTTTTTTTTTCAGTAGATTCAGGAAAACTGGTCAGAATTGATACAAAGATGAATGAAGCTAAATACAGGACAGTAAAAAAAATCTGAAAAAGTGAAAATTATTATTCACAAATGCTATCTGATTGTTCAAGAAAGGGCAACATTTTCAGCCTCTACCAGAAAGCTGATAGAGATATGGCCAAATGAAAACAAGGTTGAATTTCAGCAAAGAGCTAATCTAACGTCTACATCAATTAGACAGTGTAGTTTGTGGGCTTTAATCTGTACCAGTCTTGAGACTCTCTCAAGGTATATCTATGGTTCATTGTTCATGGATAACGTGTGCAGACTGCAGACAATGCAATGATAAAACTTTTTTTTTTTGTCCAAAAAACACAACAATTCAAAATAACCACTTGAAGAAAAATTCATTTTGAGCCTTCCTGTTTTAGTGCAACCATCACTGTGGTGCAGTTTAGTCAAAAGTACAACTTTACGTGAATTAACGAGGTTGCAAAGTCATGTGAACAGAACAGCATGTGTAGCCGATTCAAAACTCATTTTAAACATAACTTTAAGGGTGAGATAGACTTTGTAATTGTGCAGTCATTGGCATTTTCATTTGTACATATAGCCTCTTCAAAGGCTGAGAGGTATTTCATTCAATTTATATTATCTTCCGAAAGTATAATTTATGGGTCATAAGACTCCAGCTATTCAAATCAGTTCTTCACAGTTTATATTCATTGTCAGACCTGGTGGCCCTGTCCTGCTTTTTATTGGATTTGTGAAGAGCTTGTCTTCCAGCAAACCCCCTGAACATCTCATAATGCCTCATCGTGTTATTTGGGAGAACATATTAGTCTTCACTCAAGCCTTTTATCTTGAATGCTAAAATAATATTGATAAATCAATAGCACTTGTCAAATCTTGGTGCTACCTTATGTTATTCAATGCCTCTGTCTATACATCTGTTATATCATGAGAAACAGAGAGAGGTTGTGAGATGATCATAAGAAGGACATATTTAACAATGGAGAGGATTGGCGGATTTTGTTTTTATGTTCTGATCTGAAAATCTGAAAAAAAAAAAATAATTTTCCTAATGGCACATGCAAAAGCCTTTTCTAAATGATCCATCTTTTTATCCTGATGGAGCAATGTTGATTTAGACGATTGCAGGGTACATGAGACACACATATTGCATTTGATTATGCTTTACAAGACTGAATGCAGCTTAGAAGACACTAAGAAGTTATTTCAGTGATATTTAATGCAGTGAAGGTGTTGTGAGATTGTATGTTTAGTTCAATGTTTAATATGTCTTTAAATAATCACACTAAGATTAATTTGAGGAAAACATTTTTACAGTGCATGCTGTGTTGGTGTTGTGTGTCTCCTGTAGGGCGAGACCAAGGTGCTAAAACTGAAAAACCTGAGGACCAAGGATTTTGACGACTACACTTGCCAGGTGTCTGTTCGCAATGTGTGTAACATTGAAGATAAGTCAGTCACCTTCAGGCTAACAAACGCTACAGGTACGTTTTTTTGTTTGCCTTTGTATTTGCAAAGAAAAGGAAAAAGCAAATGGATCCTTGCAATCCACAGCCACATACAGGCTTCCACAGATGCATATTTTACTCTTTTCTACGAAATGGGTTGCTTTCATCCTTTTCACTCCTTTTTTGATTTTATAAAACTTCTTTTTTATCATAGTTTTCTCTGCTTAGAAATCTGCTTTTCTTTTCTTGAGCAGGAAATACTATTCATTTCTCACTGCCTCATCTTCTCATTTTCCTTGGTGTGTATCCATTTCTCCACCTCCCTTTCTGTCTGGGCATCTTTTTTTTCTCCACTGGTTTTTCCTCTCGCTGTCTCTATCTTTTCGCCTGCCTCCCTGTGCGCGGCGTTGTCTGCCTGTCTAGTTTTTCTGTTGCTGAGAGCTCATCTCAGGGCCGTCAGCTGTAATTCAGTTGTCACGCTCCCTGTTATCTCCAATTCTCTCTGCACCGGTCTGTCCATCTGCACGCCACCGCCCGGCAACTCTCTTACTTACAACAACACTGTTGCCGTTGACAGTCCTGTCAGGTTTGTTACGGTCAGACTGATGCACCACCAGGGAATACCCTGAGCTTAGTGTATATTATCAATCTTTTTATTCCACTGTGTGTTTATCTTTTTCTCCTCTCTTTTGCTAAACTCTCCTCCCATCAAATCAGTTTGATGCTTTTTTTAAAAAAAAACTTTTTTCTAAAGAAGTTAATTACTCTAAGTCTGATCTCTGGCAAATTTAATAAAACCATCCTCCATGAAACATGAAAACAAAGTTTTTGGCTATATGTTATGAGGACTGTTTAAGGCTGCTTGTTGTAATCCTGTTTTTCTCATGGTCAAATAGGCTGAGTAAGAATAAGCAAGCACCATGGAGCAGGCAAACTTCTAATGATTGTTTTATTAGAGTGGATGCTGCTGGCTAGATACACAACCATGCATGCTAAAGTTCCCTTCTTTAAATCTCCACCCTAACTGGAAAAATTAAACATTAATACTCCCTCTAAGCAATAGTTCGACGTTTTTGGTAATGCGCTTTTTTTTTCCTTAGATGAAAAGGTCTATCACATATTTTTTTCTTTTCTCTCTTTACTTTTTCTTCTGTAGCCGCAACTAACCTGTCTTGGCTTTGATCAAAGGTAATACAATCTGCCAACTAGGACCTCTTTGGCTTTAAAGTTTAAACACACAGCTTATTTACTGCGTCTATAGCAAAAGTGATGGTTTTAAGTTGCACGTTACTCCAGTGACTTATTGACTGTCAGTATGTCTTAACACATTACTGCATATTATCAAAGCAGCTGAGTTTATTTACTATTGCAGCCAGCTCATTTATCTAGCATAAATATCTTTCTTTGTGATCAGGAAACAGCTATCCGCGACGCATGATTTAAAACCACTTTATTTAATCATTTTGTTTAACATTTTGTTCATTTTTTAGACCCTTCTTCATAATCAGTGGAAAAATCATTATTTTTATTCCAGTACTCAAATCCTTATAATTACAGACCAGGTTTTTGCATGAATCTGATGTTAATTTCACCAATTGATGAGGTTCAAGCCGATAAGATTGGAAATCTTCCTTCCCATAACCCCAGTCTTAATGTCTTCCACTAATCCTGTCAGATTCAAGTTAGTAATTTGGTTGGGTGTCTTCAAAATTTCAAAATTACCTATTGATAAAATCAAACCTTGACTTTAAATATATCTAAATTCTTTAGATGTATAAACCATTTAAGACATATGTTCACACTGTATAATTGTTGAGTGTTTTCTCCCAGAGCTTTGTGAAGTGAACTGTAAGCTTGTTTGAGCATCTAAATCCAATTCTCAGTGCTTAAATAAATTGGCAAAGGTGAATCTTTCTCCCATCATTCTTACTTAAACGGACACAGTTTTTTTTTTTTTTTTTATTTATCACTTTCAGTGTATCTTCTTTTTCTTAACACTCCTGAGGAAGTGGGCACAAATGTGGCAGCAACACTACAAAAAAATAAAAAATAAGCATATATACATACATACATACAGCTCTGGAAAAAATTAAGAGCCCACTGCACTGAACCCCATTGAAAACCTCCTGGTTATTCCACCAAATACTGATTTCTGAACTCTTCCTGAGTAAAAGCATTAGTATTGTTGTTTCTAAATGAATATGAACTTGTTTTCTTTGCACTGAGGTCTGAAAGCGCTGCATCTTTTTCGTGATTTTGACCGTTTCTCATTTTCTGCAAGTAAATACAACATTTTCGCCTGGAACTTTAGAGACATGTTGTCAGTAGTTCATAGAATAAAAGAACAATGTTCATTTTACTCAAACATATATTTATAACAAGTAAAATCAGAGAAACTGATCATTTTAAGAAGTCTCTTAATTTTTTCCAGATATAAATATATAAATGGTAAATGGCCTGTACTCCTACAGTGATTTATCAAGTCCAGATGACCCCAAACTGCTTCACACTACATTCAGTGTCAAACACACACTGATGATTGGAGCTACTGGATTGGAGCCACAGCTGCCCTGGGGCAGTGTGGCAGAGGTGGACAAGGAGGGGATCATTCCAGAAACCCAACAATCTTGGACCACTGTCTCCACCATCACCAAATATATGCCTTTTGGTTAAAGGGTTTTTCCCATTTACTTTCTTCTTGCAAAACTAGCTGCAAGCTTTACACTCCTCCATACATTAGTTCATCATTCTTTGGAAACCATATGATCTGTTCAACTATCTCCACATCAAGTAGTTTTTTATTTATGTATTTATAGTACATTTTACCACTTACCATATGTGTTTTTAATAAAACCAGTTCACCAGCTGTTCAACAATGTCTGAATTTTATCCTACAAGAAAAACACATTACATAAAACAGGAGTGCTGAGATGAGCATTTAATCCAAAAGAGAATCGCTCAAGCTGAAAGTAAAAAAATGTATCATGGTTGCAAAAAATGATTGAGAAATGCTTTCACCAAAGACTGCAGTCTATTAATTAGACAATAGATCACAGATGAAGGAGCAACTAAAATGTGATGAGAACAAATGTTAGACAAATGTTTCAACGAATTTCTATCACTGTTGCTGCCTACTACTCATAAAAATACTCAATTTTAAAACCAACAAGTGAGGAAAGTGGCCCTCACAGATTCTGTGGCCTGTGTCTGATGGGTATTCCTTACATTCATTGATGCAGTCTTCTACTCCTCTCGTCTTGGGCTCCTGTGGCCGAGATCAATTGTATCCTGACTGTGCAGTCGACACAAGCACAAAGACGCACATGGATCCACAACAGCCACAACAATAACTGTCTGCCTGGCATCAGACCTCAGAGACTTGCCAAAACAGCCAATCTGTCAGGACCTCACGTTCTCAAAGAGTGATGGAAAAACTCTGCTCTGAATGCGCGTGGGTGTGTGCGCATGTGTGTGGGCGAGTAGTTGTTGAGGAAGGAGCATCCAGGGATGAGGTAAAAAATGAAAGAATAGGAAGGGATGAAGTACGACTGTTTATTTGACTGTGTGCTGCTTGCTGGTTCTTCTATGACTGATATTCTAGGCGAGCTCCTTCTAATGATACACTCTCCCAGCAAAGTCTGCTCTACAAAAAAGTTACATACAAATAAGTCACATTGCATGTGTAACATGTATTTCCTTGAAAATGGTTAGCGTGGTCTAATCGTGTTCCTCAGAAGAACCCTCTTTTTTCATGTTATATTAGCTAGAAATTATAATTTTTTTGATAGTACTTGTACTGCAATGTAAATGTTAAAAGTAAATATTAAATATCTATATGTACAAATCTGACATGACTGTATTGTGTCGACGCAACACTGGGTCTCATATTTCAATGATTGAGAAAGCACACTGCCCTGAATTTAGTCAAACACAAAGAGAAAATGAGAAATGCGTGAAAATGATGCTGTTTTTTGGCTCCATGGAAAGGAAGCATACAGTCCTAAGGCAAAATACAGAAGGAAATTATAATGGGCTGATAATAAATAAGAGTCACAAGAAAAGGGTAAAAAACAACCATATTACATTTGCAAATATAAAAAAAATTACAGTATCAGAGTCAGAGCTCTAAAATGACACTGACAGCAAAAACAAAAATAAATGGAAACTTAAAACGACAACTAAGTAATAGAAATGCATCGGGTGTGAGGGAAGAGGAGACGCAGTTTTTCATTAAAAGTGAAGCTTTTGCGAGAGAAAAATGAACCGCTTCTCTTCTTTTGTCCTCTGGGCATATTGTATCATTGTGTTTCCTGTTCATCATTGCAACATTAGTCCCTGCTGAGATTAAATTAATCAAATGAAGTCTTGATTGACTTAACTTTCTTTTTGGTTTGGGTTATAATCCTGGTTTGGGGATCTTAGTACTGGAACCTTTTTACCTCCAATCAGTGACAATTTTTTTTCCCCCGGACTCATAAAATGAAACGGTGTGAAGAGGGAAACTGTAGTTCTTATCATCACAGTTCCAGAGTCAGGAGCGGTCAAGTTTTATGGTACAGTTCATAAATCTCTTTTACTCTCCTAAAAAAAAAAAGTTGAATTTACTTTGCCATAGCAAAAACATCAATTAGTTTTTTTAGTGTGAAATTTGTGATCGCTGTGATTCTTAAAAGTGCTAGGACAGAACAAATAATAATTAATTTGAGCATTTATTTTGTTTAGTAACATGTCTAAGTAGACAGATAAAATCAAAACAATTACCTAATCCTTATTCCTCTCTCTGAAAAAAACGTTATGAAGATTTAAAAAAAAAATAATTTCTCTTCTCTTAGATTTTTTATTGAAAGGAATGGATCAAGATAAGACATTTTTTGTTGCGATCCTGCACAGTTTATCGGGAAACTTTTGCCTTGAACTAAATTATTTTCCTGACCCACAGTTTCTACTAGTTGCTGTCATTAAATCTTGTTATAAAATGCTCCCTGTTAACACGTAATCACTCTCAATCAAGTAGTCTGAATAAAAACATTGGATTA